AGAGAGAGAGTATAGAAAGGAGGAAAATTCATGTCATCATTAGAGATAATTTGACTTTGATGATAGCCACAATGACATATTACAAATTCATAGGCTTCCTCATTCATGTAGGAAAGGTATGAATGAGAATGAATATCTTCAGAATACAAGAGAAGAAGATACTCATTCTCATTCATACCTTTTCTTCATTTATGAACATGAATACGTTTAATTCCCCATTCGTGATAAGTTGGTGATTATGATATGAAATTGACAATTACTAGTCATGTGATGAGGATAAATGCATTATCAACACATGAAAATAACGGGAACCTGTGATATTAGAGACAATGAGGATGGAAACAAAATAATTTCATAAGAATTAAAGTTACCAAATGTTGGAAAATTACGTACCAGAGAGTTGCCAGGTACTTAATGTCACACACACACAGAACGCATGCACACACACAACAACACACACACACACGCACCACACACACACACACACACACACACACACATATATGGTTTATAAACCATACACATAATGGCCTCCCTTCTGAAAACCCTATATAAAACATAAATATAATGTATATTTTCTTATTTTCGGAGAAAGTGACGCGTTGATAATCTCCATTTAGTTTCATCACAGCAGGAAGTGCTAATGATTCTTGGAAACAAGGGCTATTTTACACGATCAACAAAGCGCTCTATCAGCTGGTTTAATTGAATAGTGTGCGGGTGCGTGTCTTAGAGTGCAATAGAGAAAGAGCAATCTATGCGTGACGTGGACGTGCAGCACACGCTCTCTGGGCGACACGCAGCTCTGACACCTCTCGAGGCGTCAACACTGCACGTAGTAAAAACCCTTGCCAGTGTGCACGATGCGTTTTACAGGCGACGCAAGGTAGAGGGCGCCATGCATTGCGTACCCCCCCCCCCTCGCCTCCCCCTAACAAAACCCGGCGACAGAACCCAGTTGAGAGGGAATTGTGCTTCGTGTTGACAGAGAAACCGTTTCTGGCGATTGAAACATTCCAGCATCGCATGACTAAATTTATAGTTATGTGAATTCTATGGGTAATGCATGTAATGTGGTATGACTCTTTAAGAACATAATGTAGACTTGTCCAACAGAAAGTGTGTTGGATAATGCTGGCTGAGTTAACCATCGTTTTCTTTTTGTCTTTTCTCCATCTGTTGTATCATTTCAAGCGAAATACCTTCTTCAAAGATTATGTGCACTGTACCCATCTTTTGACAAATCTTCCATCTCGTAGGGAAAATCAGTGTCTTTGCTGTGGAAAAGATAGTGTCTTTGCAATGACGACAACAGACAGTAGCAGACCTTCAAAGCACATTTGTCTCGTCGATCACAAATATTCCCTCCAGCTGGACATCTACTGTTCGTACTTGTATTTTTTGCAACAACCATCATTTGAGGGGATGAGCGTTTAGAGACTGTTTTGCTATTCCCTACATTCATCAACTTAAGCATCGGTATATTCACCTAAATGCGCTACAGTAATGGGAGAGAGTACATTAACGTGAACATATCGATGCTTTTATAAGACGAAAATTTAGAATAAAACATTTAATATACGTTTTCTTTCAGGCATTTTTTCTGAGAACAACTTAAGACACGCGTCCATTCATTTCATCAGTGAGTGTGTAGTCCCCTGTTATTATATTACATGTATCTATCTATCTATCTATCTATGTGTATGAGCGTGTTTGTGTGCGCGCGTGTGTGTGCGTGTGTATTAGAGCCACCTTTTTGTCATCAGACAAGGAGACGAGTAACGAAAACGTTTAATTGCTCCCTTTTCCTGTCTCTCATATCCCCAAAGGGATTCTCTGCGAAGCCTCCGGTTCTCATGAGTGGACATGGCATGAGTGGACCATGAGTGGACATACCATGAGTGGACATCCACCATGAGTGGAGAGTGGACATACCATGAGTGGACATACACATGAGTGGACATCCATGAGTGGACATCCATGAGTGGACATACATGAGTGGACATACCATCAGTGGACCCATCAGTGGCCATACCATCAGTGGACATACCATCAGTGGACATACCATCAGTGGACATACCATCAGTGGCCATACCATCAGTGGCCATACCATCTTCGTGAGAGGCAAAAGTGCTGAAGCAGCCAGATTCTCCAAAATCCGCATAGTAAACCGAGATTGCCTCCTCAAAATGACCTTTCTCCTTGGCCACAACATGGCCTTGATATTTTCTCATAGTTGGGGACTTTCTACTTGTTTTTTCGGTGACTGTCGGTCGTGATCTGCAAAAGACTTTTTCCTGAATTTAAATAATTAAGTTAGATAATCGGAGACATTTGGCTCGTACGTTCATTTAATGGAATGCAGCTGTAGAGTCTAAGTGTGTATATCATCATCAATCATCATCATCATTATCATTATCATTATCATTATCATTATTATCATCATTATCATCATCATCATCATCATCATCATCATCATCATCATCATCATCATCATCATCATCATCATCATCATCATCATCATCATCATCATCATCATAATATTAATAACAATAACAATAATGATTGTAGTAATAGTAACAAAATGATAATGATAATAATAATAACAATGATGATAATAATAATAATGAAAATGATGATAATGGTAATCGTGTGTTATCATTATTGTTATCAATATTATCATCATAATTATCGTGATAATGAATATGATATTGATAATTTTCATGATGATGATAATGATGATGATAATAATAATAACAACACTAATAATGATAATAGTGATAATGATCATAATGATCACAATAATAATGGTAATAGTATTAGTAATAATAATGATGATAATAATGATGATAATAATAGTAATAATATAATATCAATAATATTAACAAAAATAATAGTAAAAACTACTACTATTACTAGTAATAGCAATAATCACAATAAAAAGTAATAGTAATGATAACAATAACAATATGATCATATTAATGCACATGAGTCAACTAGAAATAGTTGAACTGAACTGAAAATATCAATGATGCAGATAATGATAATAACACGAAGAACAAAAAAGAAATAATAATAATAACAATGATGATAATGATAATGATAATGATGATAATAACGTTGATAATAAAATGTAAATAACAATAATAATGTTAATCGTAATAACGGCAAAAACAACTCGAACAACAATACTAGTAGATAATTATAATAAAGATGATAATAAATATATTACTACTATACTATAACAATAATGGTAAGCCGAGCCATAACAAAAATAATGATAACAAGGAAGACGATAATAACAATGATAATAACACAGATAATAATCAAAATAACATTATAAATACAACAATATTAGGAAAAACACCGTAATGATGATTATATATATAATGATAAAAATTGTGATGATAATGATAATAATGATAATGAGAGTAATTATTCAAGAAATATATATAGTACAAGATCAAGTTGAAGAAGAACAAAAAGAATGATGATATAATAACTTCAAAAAGAACAGCAAAAATAACAAAAGACACTAATAGAAAGTCAGAATTGAGTCAACATTAATAACATTAATAGGAACATTTTTTTTTTACTTCATATCCAGCTGCTGGATTGGTTTATAATCAGAACGGAAAAATAATTAAGAAAGAAAGAAAGAAAGAAAGAAAGAAAGAAAAAAGAAAAAAAAAAAAAGAAAAAAGAAAAAAAGAAAGAAAAAAAGAAAGAAAAGAAAAAGAAAATGAAGAAGAAGAAGAAGAAGAAGGAAGAGGAGTAAGAGGAGAATAAGACGAAGAAGAAGAAGAAAAAGAAGAAGGAAGAGGAATAGGAGGAGAATAAGACGAAGAAGAAGAAGAGGGGACAGAAGAAGAAGAAAAAGAAGACGGCAAAGAAGAGGGAGAAGAAGACGAAGATGAAGTAGAATTGGTGGCAAAAGAAGAAAAAGATGACAAAGAAGAGGGAGAAGACGACGAAGAAGACGAAGAAGCGCAGAATAAGGGAAAAGAATTGTACGCGTAAGAGTCCCATTCAGTAGAAATTCGTTGTCGATCCTCAAAAGGTTCTCGAAATGAACTTGATTTGAACACCTATTAAATCAATCGATCAATTGATGTCTTATTTACCTGACCTACTTTGGCGTTTTCCAGGATATTGGGAAGACATGCACCTATAAACACTGCAATACCATGCTGTTATCACATTCCCTTGACAACGTACTCAGACATTAGTTAAAAACTCTGTAAATAAAGACTCAATGAGCTCTAATCGATGGAAAACTTTAGGTCAGGTTACCTGTCTTTAATTTATACGAGAATCTTGGTGGTTTCTCATGACGCGACGCACAGGTTGAAAACTACTGATTAAGATGTTGGTGTATATATATATATATATATATATATATATATATATATATATATATATATATATATATATATATATATGTGTGTGTGTGTGTGTGTGTGTGTGTGTGTGTGTGTGTGTGTGTGTGTGTGTGTGTGTGTGTGTCTGTGTGTGTGTGTGTGTGTGTCTGTGTGTGTGTGTGTGTGTGTGTGTGTGTGTGTGTGGTGTGTGTGTGTGTGTGTGTGTGTGTGTGTGTGTGTGTGTGTGTGTGTGTGTGTAATAACATTATTAATCGCCTAAACACCTTGTTATTTTCCCTTTTGTACCCTATGATTCATCACGTAAGGAACAGTGACTATCACACCTGTCGTTCTGGTGTAGATGTACTAACAAATATATCCCTAGTTGTTTACCGCGATATAGAACAAAACGAACAAACAAACAAAAAACAGGAAGGAGTTAGGCCGCGTTCAGTATGGCAAAAACTATAAAAAAAAAACAAGGAAAACATGAACAAAACCTAAAAAAATATATAAAGTTTGTCTTGAGATAGAGAGAAAAAAGCACCACATTGGCGCAGGCCGCATATTTCCCTAGCTGGCAACTCCCGCCCGCGCGTCGGCTAGCAACCATTCCCTAACAACGGCGACACCAAAACA